GGTCATTACATAGTGATTCAGGAAGAGAACATAACAAATATAAATATATATTCACCCAATACTGGAGCACCCAGACAGGCAAAGCAAATATTATTAGACATAAAGAGAGACATCAATTTTAATACAATAATAGTTGGGGACTTCAACACTTCACTGTTGTCCCTGGAAAGACTGTTTTTACAGAAAATAAATAAATAAACTGGATTTAAACTGTAATATTGACCAAATATACACATAAGATGTTTTAGAGAACATTTCATCTAACAGCTATAAAATACACATTCTTTTTTCATCAGTACATGAAACATTCTCCAGGATTGACCATTTGTTAGGCTATAGAACAAGTCAAAACAAATTTTTAGAAGTCAAAATTATATAAATATCTTTTTTGACCTCAACTGAATAAAAGTAGAAATCAATAACAAAAGGAACTTTTATAACTGTACATATTCATTGAAATCAAACAACATGCTCCTGAATCACCAGAGGGTCAATAAAGACAAAAAGAAAACAATTTAAAAATCTCTTGAAACAGATAAAAATAAAAACATAACACTACCAAAACCTATGGGATACAGTAAAAGCAGTACTAAGAGAAAAATTTATAGTAATAAATGCCTACATTAAAAAAGTAAAGTGATTTTATAACTTATCATACACTTCAAAAACTAGAAACACAAGAACAAATCAAACCCAAAATTAGTAGACATAAAGAAATAATAAAGACCACAGAAAATTAGAGACAAAATCTTTATAAAAATAAAGATTAGAGCAGAAATAAACAAAATTGAAACCAAAAATTACAAAAGATCAAAACCCCAAAATACTGGTGGCTTGAAAAAATAAAAATAGACAAAACATTAGCCAGGCTAAGAAAAAAGAGAAAAAAAATCCAAATAAATAAAATCAGAAATAAAAATGGAGACACTACAAAAGACACCACAGAAATACAAAGGATGATTAGAGACTACTACGGACAACTGTATGGCAACAAACTGGAAAATCTAAGTGGAAAATCTAAACAAACCAATAATTCATAACAAGATTGAACGGGTGGTAAAAAATCTCCCAGCAAATATTAATCAAAGTCTAGAACCACATGGATCATGTCACTGCTAGATTCTACCAAACTTTTAAAGAATAATACCAGCTTTCCTAAAATTATTTCAAAGACTAATCAACAAAAGCAAATCAAAACCACAATGAGATCTTAACCTCAGTTGAAAAGACTGTTACTGAACTGACAAAAAATTAATGCTGGAGAAGATGCTGAGAAAGGGGAGCTCTCAGAGACTGTGGCAAGGCCTGTTAGCATGACCATCATGGAAAACCAGTATGGAGGTGCCTCACAAAACTAAAAGTACACCTACTATGTCATCCAGTAGCTCTGTTACTCTGCATACAACAAAGGAAAGGAAATCCATGTCCTGAAGAGACAACTGCACTCCTGTGTTCACAGAAGCACCACTCACACTGTTCACAATAGCCAAAATGTGGAATGAACCTACGTGTCCATCTACAAATGAATGGGTAAAGAAAACATGCCATGTACATGTGCAATGCGGGACATTATGCTAAGTGAAATAGGCTGGCAGAAAAATCACCACATATTGTCACTTACACGTGGAAGCTGAAAACCCAGAGCTCCCAGGAGGAGACAACAGAACAGTGGGCAGCACAGGCTGAGGAGGGGCCGGGCAGGAGAAGCTGATGACAGACGCATATTTACAGCTAGGTGAGAGATACTAGTTCCAGTGGATTGCACTTGGGGTGCATATAGGTTGCAGCAATTTACTGTGTATTTTCACAATAAAATATACTAAAACACGAGAGAAAATGATGAATGTTCCCAACACAAAGAAATAATAAATGTCTGAGGTGATGGATTTGCTAATTACCCTGATTTGATCATGACATCTTATACACATATATCAAAATACCGCACTGTACCCCATAAATATGGATAATTGTGTGTCGAAAGCAATAAATTTAATTATTTAACTTGATTTAATAATTAATTTAAAAAATAAAATTTTCCAATTATCTCATTTACCCTAGCATCCCCAAACAGTAAATCCTTAGGAATAAATCTAAATTAAGATGGTGAGACCTCTACAAAGAAAATCCACAAAATATTACAGAAAGAATTAAAGAGGACATAAATAAATATTGATACACGGCATGATTCAGGATTGGAAGACTCAACGTTGTGAAAGCTTTTTTCAGGAAGGTGACAGGCTGATTCTAAAATCTGTACAGAAGAGGGGCAAGAATAATGAAGGTGGTCATGAATGAGAAGAGAAAATCAGAAGATTTACCACATTAGAGATCAAGACTTAACTATAAAGCCTCATGAAATAAAGTAAGATATTAGCACGAAGAAAGAGCTGCAACCTCTGAGACAGAACAAGTCCAAAGACAGCCGCACACACCTGTCTGCAGATCACCTGACTGCAAAAAAGAGCCACTGCAGTGCCTTTTCAATAATTAGTACTGCATCGAGTGGTATTTGTATGAAAAAAAGATCCTAAATCTTGTCCTCTCCTTCATACTGTACAGAAAATTAACACCACATGAATCAAAGACCTGTATGTGAAGGGGAAAAACTACATGATATCTAGATGATAACACAGGAGATTATCTTACTGACCAGAATTCTTCGATGGCAACCTAAAATCTTTAGCCCTAGAAGAGCAGACTGATACATTTGACTACATGAAAAGTTAACAACTTCTACAACTTAAGAAAACAATTCTTATAAAAAGGCAAAAGGCTTGAATAAGCACTACACACACGCGCGTGCGCAGAGCACTCATAAGCCCGCATTCACAAGAGATCCAAATCAGGTTCAAGGGCAGATGAAACAGGATGTGAGACAGTTACTGTGATTATTTTCACCGTATTTCCCTGATTTCACTCTTCACAGGAGAGCAGCTTAGTGCGCTGGAGTTAGAACTGAGCAATGTCTTCTTTGTGGATAAGGAGACAGCCCAGTAGCTGTTCCTTTCTGAAGTCATGTGTTGCACTCATGAAACCACCTCACGGAAACAGCACCCTCTTCCCCCAAACGTGTCCTACTCTTTATTGGAGCTCGTCCCAAGCTGGTGTTTGTGGTAACTGAGTGACGTGGGGTGAGGAGAGATGCGATGAGACACTGCTGGCTCAGGGCTGGCCCTGCCATTGCAGGCAGGATGATCTGGGTTAGGTACTGAAGCTCTCTGAGCACTGGGTTTCTCAGGCAGGATAATGGGCACTAATAACATCTTTATCTCAAAGACAGAGAAGGGGATTAGATGCGCTGAGAGATGTGAAAATGCCTGCATAGATGATGGCACAGAAGTTTTATGTGTACACGTACAGAAGAGAGACAGTGTCCTGAATCTGGAAATACTGTCTGCATTAGTTATTTCCATAATTTGAATCACTATTGTTTCTATTTATTAAGAACAATGAATATTAAGAGCGATGAATGCACGCTCCCAGAAGACGGCCATTTAACGTTTCCTGTAACTGGGTGTCTGCCTGGACATCAGATAGAGGTTAATTACACAACGTGTACGGTGCCTCTTACAACATATTAAATAGAGATTTGCCGAAAACTTATTATTGGAGGAGCAGTATCTAATAATCAATACAACATTCGTAACAAATCAGAGAGAATCTTTTTGAAGAATTACCTTGGTAAGAGTGGATCAGAGTAAAGCAAGCAATTAAATTGGCTTTACATGACAGCACAATCTTGAGGGGAAAACTGAGAGTCAGGAAAAATTTCCAGACTGAAATTTCCTCACCTGAGCCGGAATCTCTGTGACCTATGTCCTCACATTATCTTTGCAAAACAATTTCCTTGCCTAGAGTTCTTCTCATATCCCTGTCCAGAAAATTGTTCCTCGTCTTTTGAAATCACATATTTATCCAATTGAAAATGTTACAAAGGATGGAAAATGTATGAAATGATTTGCTGGGCACCAGGATTAGAAATTGACCACATGCTCATGTGCCCAGTCGCTGCAGGAACGTTCCTGCAAAGCCTCCCCGGTGCCACTTTCTGCCCTGTGCTTTAACCTCTGAGTGCACATGTGGTACCAGATTCCATCTCTGAGTCCCTAGGGCCATTTCCCTACTTGGCAGGGGGCACCAGAAGACACCAGGCTAGATCTGTCCACCTTTTCTTCCCCAGGGAACAGCTCAGAGCCTGACACACAGTGTACACTATATTAAATAAAGGCTTTCTGAACGAATTATTCCCTCTTCATGAGGTTTTGATACAGTTGAATCTACTGAATGATTTTCTTAATGAATATGAGAGAAATGAAACAATTACACTCAAGAAAATTACATCTTCTTGATACATTCTTTGTTATTTTTTTCTTATTTTATTAGCATTTTATTAATAGTCCTAGCAGCAGCTTTCAGAATGCCCAGAAAGCTAATGTAAATTGTTCTTGAAGACATGAACGGCATCGATATAGGGGAAATGAAGCCTGATTAGTGTTTTCTGGTTTGAAATTATGAGAATCGTTGAAAAAACGTAATGAGCTTCCATTTAATTGGAAATAGTTATGGGTATAAATGATTTAATATACCGAGGCATTGTTAAGTTTCTATAACAATCAATAATATTCATCAAAAAAGACAAAGTGATGAAAGACAGTCACAGAATTTATCTTCACAGAACCAAAGTCTGGCACATCCTGCAAGGGTAACAGTGTTTACTTAAGAACACTTAGTTTAGACCTAAAAGTGTCCCCAGGTTCGTAAAAGCGTCCTGAACTGTCATTGGAAAAATGAAAAAGAAAACATATTACTTGTGCTTAAAAAAGGGGGGTGCGGAGGAGCAGCCAATCTTCAAGTAAGCATAAATACCTTGGGAACTATAAGGCTAAAGAAATATAATTCCCATCTACTTAGTTTGAAATCAATGAAGTATTTTGCCTTTAGTCATCTTGCTAAAAATCACGTAGAAAAAAACTGCAGAGCTTTCAAAAGCACAAAGGTACCTACTTGGTCTGGTGCTTAGAGCCTTTGAGGTGGGCGTGATACTGTTCTATGGAGTTCAGGGAGACACTGCAGATGGTACACCTGTAATTGCGCCTCAGACCTGTGGACAACAGACAGACCTTGTTAGCGGCATCTACCTGCCAACCATGTGAGCGAACCCCAGCATCCCCAGAAGTTCAGCATCTGAGAGGCCGTCAGGTCCACCCCACCAAGGGCCCTTCAATCCCTCCCTGCAGAGAGCAGCCAGCAGGGCGCTGAGTGGGAGGGGGAATATGAACGTGTCAGAAGCAGTCGAGAGTCTGAGAGCATCCATCTTTGAATGGAGGTAAAAGATTTCTGGACATTTTATAACTCAAACAAAAGAGCATTACACTTTTTCCCTAAAGCACATAGACATAGTTTGACGTCCTCTCTGCAGTGAAATTTGACCCTCCAGAGAAAAGCTGCCCCCATTCCTTTCTCCCCTCCTTTCACTTCATTCATTCACATACCACTTCTAGGATCATCTTATAAAATGGAACACCCAGGAGGTGGATAATCTATCAGGCTGGTTCCTATGGAGTCTTACTTTTCCCCAGGGAATTTAGAAGACAATCTATTCATCCGACTGTCCACTGATTTAATTAATTCATTAATACAGCATCAAATTTAGACTAGGGTCAAGACATCCCAAGATGAGTGACAAGCTGTACTTTGCTTTCACAAAGTTTAGTAAAAATATTGACTGTTTTGCAGCATTGACTCATATAGGGCCAACTTGTATTAGAAAAGCTACTCCAGCAGCGTGAATTTAAACATGGCCACAGATCAGCCCAGCATGGACCACAGCACTAGCAGCAGGTCCCTTCAGAGCGGAGAGAAGGTTGAAGCCAGTCACGGGCTGAGACCTTGGAGTATGGCCCTGGCCCTCCTTATTCTTGCTTGTGGAATGTGGGGAAATTTCATAATTGGGTTTCTGGCTTCAGTTTTTTCATCTTCAAGGTGAAGGCAAAGCCAGTCACACCACTGGATGTCACGGAACTATGTGAATAAAATACAGTAAGACCCCTCTGAGTTGACCACCTTTGGGACTGCAAGAAAATGCCCCACAGACAGAGGCGGTCAACACAGACAATGAGGCTTACTGTACTGGCACATAAATGTGGTGTGTGTCTGGACTAAGAAAATTAGGTCAACATGAGGAGGTGATCGGTGTAGGGAGATGGTCCACTACTGTTGAGCACATGAATGCTGCTGGCATTGGTTTCCTGCAAAATTCTGTTTCACCATTATGAAATTCAGGAGTAAACAATGACTGCATTGTCTACTGGTTAATGCATAGTATTTTCTTTCTAAGAGGCAAATTTATTCTCTATTTTCCTAAAAAGAAAATAAGTCAAAACCTATGAGAGCTCTATTGTACTGGCAGTTCCCTCAGAGAAGAGTGTGGAGTTTTCTCTCTCACCCCAAGCCTTTGGGGCAGAGATTCAGCAGATCTTCCCAGAGAGCTGAGATGCCTTCTTATACCCGGGAAGCAGTGGGCTGGACTCCGACACCACCTGCAAGATCCCAGGGATGAGAGACTGTGGTGTGTGAGTTACTCTGACAGCAAAGTATAAGACGTGCCAAGAACTGGGCAAGGCTTATATTCTCAGAGCTTGTCAGAACAAAAGAGACAGAAAAGTTGCCCACAGACTGCGTGTGCACCCTGGGTCAGAGAAGCAGCTGATCCAATGACGTCTTAGGTGCGACCCACAATGGCTGCCTGAACTTGAGGGCAATGAGTCTGTGGCAGAAAGATGCTGGGGTGTTCAGCTGGTGATGTAGGTGCTGAAAGTGACCTGCGAGGAGATACCTGGCTGATATTAAGTCACGGTGAATCCCCAAAAAGCCATGAGAAGGATAATCAGCGTGCAGCCTGACCAAGTCTCGCAGCACCCATGTATAACATCAAGTAAACTTTCATTTCCTTCACCTTTTTAACCTTCTTCCCTGTGTCACTCAGCCCTGAATGAACCAGAATCCACCCATCAAGGTAAAAGAAGAAAAGCAAAATCCTCAGAAGGACAAAAAGCAGAAGCTCCGGACAAAGACGAAGGGAGGAACCTCCCACACCTTCTCTCCCCTGCGGTGGGCAGCCAGATAGACCTGAGCTGGTGGAGGGGACTCAGTCTCCATCAGTTCTGGAGATATTACACGTTTTCTCCATCCTGGATATGCTAATTAAGGAAATGGAGAGTTCACAGATTTACGAATGTGTAAAGAATTGTTTACTACTTGAAAGTAAGTGAAAATTCATTAAATTGTCCTAGCTTCTGTCCGAAAGTTGGGAAAGAATAAACCCACAGAGACAGCCTGAATAGGTGAATGGAAGATGAGCATCGGTTACTTTCCGATCTTATCAAACCCAGCGAGTCCTGCGAACTGCATGTGAGCGTGCTCCCAGAACTGCTCTCGAGCCCACAGTTGTGGACCAAGAGTAGGGTTTCCCGGAGGCGTCCACGTTCTTAGGGACCAAGCACTTGGCACAGGAGCCTATTTGGAACAGATGTAGTGAGCTGGGCTGGCTAGTCTAAGACCTTGTTTTTGTTTCATTAACATAATTAGGCACTGACTTGACTAATTGCTCAATTAAGAGTTATTTTAATTATGGGGAGATCTACTAAAAATCCACAAATATCCAGGATCTTCTTAGGAAGCAATCAAAGAGATCCAACACTTCCCAGGCACAAATCACCCACATCTCAGTTCCCCCCAGCAATAAATCTTGAACTAAAGTAATTGGATACGTCCTCCAGTGACGATGGTGAAACGCAGAATCCCAGCAACAGTATCTGGAGATTACAACGCCATGAGTCTTAGATGGGGCTTGGAAATGCACAAGAAGATTTTAGACTGTAACCCTCAACCCCACTTGACAAAAGAACTCTCAGAAAAATCATACTTCTTTTGAGAACTTGGATTTGTCAGAGTAACACTGGATCTTATTTTCCAAAAAAAGTTATTCCATAAAAACAGCTGTGTTTACACTGTCTTTCTATTTCACAGGTGTGCGTGATTCAGAAAGATAACCTGGTCCCTAAACTCAGAGTCTGTAACCTCAGACTGTGAACTCAGGACCAGCATGCAAGCTATCTGAATGCTTCTGCAGGCCTGACCCTTTCTCCTCTTTTATGCATGGAATCAAAATATGAAAACCAGCTTTCAGCTTCCTCCCTCCAGACTTCTACATCAATTTTGTCATAGCAAATGGTAACTACTATTTATTAATATATGGGACCTCTTTGGACTACAAGCTAACCAAAGGTCTCCTCATAACAAACAGGGGTTCAGCTTAGCAATGGGCATAAATATTTATGCTTTAAAATGGGCAATTTTTTTAAGAACTCCAGCAAATCTTTAAAAAATACTCTGATCTGTTGCTTTCCATAATAGCTCTCATGCTCTGCAGCCAAGCAGAGGCATGGGCAGGAAATGTTTGGAACTTTATTCCAATATGAACTACAGGGATTATAAACTGGCAAGTCAATGCATATAAACAAGAACAAAAGCAAAGAAGGGGCAGAGGAGCCCTCCCCCACACATGACATCGTGTCCTTGGCGGGAATTTAGTGCTTTATTAATGCTCAGTTGAAATCCTAATTACTTTGGAATTATGTGGCTCTCTTTCTCCTTAGAGATCTAGAGAATCTTATTATTAAACCACAAACGCTAACTTTCTCATTCATTTTCAGCATAATACCACATGAAGAGTATTCTAAAACCTTTGTGGACCAAAGGGTTACTTCTGCAGGGTTGCCTGATGTATGTTAGAAAAATATGGTCCCTGCATGCAAAGAGCTGACAGATAGTCCCGTTGGAGAGAGAAGTCACATATGCAGTTAGCAACATTGCAAGGTGGACCATTAAAAGCACCCCAGTGAGGACAAATTGAAATGTGAGAGGAACTAGAAGACTATTTCTAATTCAAAGGATCTGGAAAAGCTTGAAGATGCATCACTTTTGTGTTTAAATTTCCTAGCACAATGTTAACAAAACAGATGGTCCTGAGAAGTTTACGTGTATGTGTATGTGACTACTTGCCGTGTCTTTTCAAGTCTAGTAAAGCTAGATGTCCCTATGACATCCATTGTATCTATTCTACATGTATGTTAAGGAAACATCACTGAGCCTTTATTGTGGTGCCAGACCTTTTGCTGATGTCAAAAATATAGGAGAGAATAAGACAGAGTACATTTCATTATGGAGCTCATCACAGAGAAACATAAGAAACAAGGAAATTGAAAAAAACATGCTTAAAGGCTGAGAAAGTGTCACATGGGGCAAACAGGAGAATGAGAGAGAAAACTGATAGGAAGAAGGTGATTCTGGATATGATGGTCAATAGGATTCCCTGAAAAGTATGAGATGAAACCAGGGAGGGCAGCCTGTGATATGAAGAACAGGGAGAGTCCTTCAGGGAGGGAGAAGAGCAAGGATAGAGGCCAGAGTGGAAATGGACTTGAACAGGATGAAGGCGGTGAAAGAGAACACACTACACTCCCTGTCTGCCCACAATTCTATGTCCAGCAAAAATGTCCTTCAAAACTAAAGACGGATGAAGAACGTTCTCAAAAACAAAAACTAAGAGAAGAGTTTGGCAACCAGTGTGTACAACAGAAATGCTTCATTTAGGTCTTCAGGTGGAAGGAAATGACACCAGATGTCAACTCAAATCTGTAGGGAAAAAATGACATCAGACACTTTTCATGGGTGTGTATCTGTCTTTTAAAATTTCTCTTAATTTATTTGAAGACAGCAAATAAGATAAAGCAAAAACTATAATATATTGCAGTGTACATACTATGTATATATATCTCACACGTATATTGTCTGATGTACACACACATGAAGCAGAAGCTCCAGTATGGGTTGGAGCAGAACAGTGCTGCTGAGAGATTATACTTACCTGCAATCATATCCTATTAACTCTAAACTAACAGTGGTAACTTAAGGATCTATACAGCAATCCCTTAAAACAACCATTACACAAACGTAAAGAAAGAAAACTAAAAAGCATATGGAGAAAATAAAATATAATAAAGAGTATTTGACTCACCCCCCCCAAAAAAAAGGCAGGAA